CTTCTTCTTCTTCTTCTTCTTCTTCTTCTTCTTCCTCCTCCTCTTCTGGTTGTTCTCCTTGTTTTTCTTTTTCTTCCCTCCACTTCTCATTCTGTTCGAGGCCGTCTTTGGTCGCGCTGTCAGCCGCCGACATTCGTATCAGTCTTTACACTCCAGATAGCACAATCTTCTTATTGCATTATCATCCTCTGTCCTCTTGCACAATTTGCGAGAAAAGGTTTCACCACCAAAGATTATTCGGTTGAAGAAAGTAAACGTTCTTCTCTCGGTGAATAGAATTTCTATGGTTGAAATGATCCTGTTACGTGTAAGTTCACTTGCATAAAAGTTATTCGAAACTTCGCGATTTTATTCTTCTGCTACCTGTCCTCGATGCAACATCATTTATGCATTAAAGGAAAATTAGAAGCTGCAAAAAATGGACAAGACACGCGCAGAACATGGTACAGATTTCACGAAAACTTGCACAAATATCGTCTAAATGTCTCGATTGATCAAAATCTTAAATTTCTCCGAAATTTGTACGCGCGCTCATAACTGATGTTAAGAGTTGGCCATTTCGTTGACAGTAGCGTTTCCCTAGAGCAGACAGCGCTGAAAGAAACGAGATTTGAGGAACGCAGGGAGGAGACACCGAGGCAAAACTACGCTCGCTTCTCCGCCGAAGATCGCCACTTGGCATTCAACGATCTTGCCGAGGCTATCAAACGTTCAGATTCGTCGAGGTATTCGACGGGTCGTGGTGTAACTGATTCGTATAAAATTTGCATCACATTCCAGGCAACCCTTGCCGGCGTCGGTAATAGTGGTCGTGCATCGTAGGCAGATCTTCCCGGAGATCTCACCTCGCCACCTCTGCAAAACTTACGGACACGAACGCAAAGAAAAAGAAACGCGAGGCGAGGGAGAGGAGAAAGAGGAAGACGACGACGACGACGACGACGAGGAGCCGAAGCGTGCAGAAGAAGAGAGAAAGATAACGAAGAAGAAGAAGAGCCCTTCGTTTCGTCTCCCTTTTCGAGTTCTTCCAATTCTCTCGTGACCATAAAGGTTTTGTTGCGGGATCGCCGTCCCCAGTCGAACGGTAAATCAAGATGGTTGCTTTACGTAATGGAGTTGCACCGGCCACATCTTAATTAGGAAAAATCGGCGGAGCACATCCGTTTCCAGCTCGGCGATGTTAGGCGGAGTTAAGGCGCCCCATTGCATTCTCATTAACCGTCCGCTTTTGAATACGTCCTGTACACCGCGCTGAGCGAATCGCTCGTTACACTATTTATCTTGGGCCTCTGTTTCGCAGAAGGCACGACTCGCGCTCGTAATAATGTCGACCGTTTTGCCTTGATACCTGTTGTGTGAGCGTCCGACGATTTTCAAGATTTTCAACGTGCGTAAAAATACGTGGTATTAATTCATTTGCATGCGAGGGCTTGTATCGTTACGGATAGACACTTGCCATTGAAGCTTCTCAATTATTTAACTACCTGCATCATCGGAGACGTCAATTTCATATTCATGAAACGAACAGATACGCAGACGTTTCAACAGATATCGCTATCTTTAATGAAGTAATTCAACGAGGAAGATACTTTGCGCGAGACGCAAATGTATTTCTAAAGGATATTAGAGAGTGATTGCAAGTACAGAAATATTATCAGTAGCAACAACACGAATAATAATTGTTACGGGAATATTTTGTTAATAACGATGAACAATAGATACAACAAAGTGTTTGAATATCTTTTGAATGAGATACTGAGTGTACATAAACACTGTCAGAAAAGCGCCGTTCAAAACTATTTGTTTTATACATTTTCATACATATTCGTCAATATTTATTAATATTTATTTCCGACGAAAAGATTCAAGACACGCTAACTGTATCTGACAAAATTTTGAAGACAAAGCACTTTCCCTCTGTTTTAAAAATAAAATTCCAAACTTCAAGAGTAGAATATTAATTCCGTAATTTCTCCATAATTTCGTTGCGAAACAAAGCCCGGAGTGTCTTGAAAGTTTATCATAATACGACGGTCAGATAAGAATACAAGGAAAGTTAACGAGCTCGTATCGGCGACACATTCATACTCGTAACCACGATGGACGTGATCGCGATCGTTCGTTGTCGAAAATTTTCTCAATTCGTTGCAGGTTACCGGATAATCGTGGTCGCTGGTTTTCACCCCACGGGGATACCAAGATGAACGTTGGTCCAAATTTACGTGAGACATCCGATTATTAGCCAACAACAAGCGATGACTACGGAGACGAGTGACGAGGCCTCGTGCCTCGGCCGTCTTCGTCAAGAAGTACGAAACATAATTTTCTCATTCTCTCGTTTAACCTCCCCGTATCATTCAACGCGTTTCCGTGTAGGCTTTTAATTGTTTAGAAACGTTTCCGAACAAGATCATCGAGTTGAACGAGTTCGTCAACGAGTACATGCCGGAATCTGTTAAGAACAGTAAATTCAACGATCCTCCGCCAGTCGATCGGAAAGTCAAGTGTCAATCGACACTTTCCAGCGTGAAAAACTACGATCTAAACAGCATTTCGGACTTTGGCGGTAATAATTATCACGGGTGAAAATTCGTCACGGACGAGTCTTCTTTAATAAAGCTTAAATAAGTGAGATTATATATGACAGATATCAGTAGAGAAAAATAGATAATTGGGATAAATTTTAATTTACATCGATTAATCGATAGTAAAAATCCTTGCAATGAAATATGATGAATAACTCTATATTGTTAGTCGTGATTCGAGACAACATATACACAAATTTATCACGATGAAACTAAAATCCATTGACTATAGCTATTTAATAATTTAATAATTCCCGAGAATATTATAATTATTGTAATATTCCTATAAATATAACGTTAGAACAAATAATCTGTATAATGTTCAATATTAAAGTCAAATTCGCCTTCAATCAAATAAAAAGTTTTAATTAATATTCGAATAATGAAAACTGTGATTTTTCAGTCAGTAGACAACATTTGACCAACAGTTGTAATATTTCTTGATATCGTGTCATACTGATACTCTTGCGGTTATTTCATTGTAATCGTCAGACGAAAATTCATTCCTATGATAGTCGTTTCAAGGATAATAAATGCAAATCGCACGAGTGTAATAAATTTTTGTGCCGATTTCTCCAGTTTCCAGTTACTATTCTCTTTCGATGTGCGATCGCAGCCGATCGCGACACGGAATCTGTAAGAGAAAATACTATCGATCGCGAGGTATAACTGGTGGCAACGTGCGTCGAAGACCAGGTCCTCTGGGACAAATTTTAGCATTTATAGTGAGCACCCTGGCAACATGTACCAAGAAAATCGTCATTACTCCGTCGCAGTACATCGTGGACAACATAATACCAACATTCTTCCAAAGGTAGATACAAATAAAGCGCCTACTCAGTTACGAATCTTTTTTTTAGTTACATTTATGGGAAATTCAGAATCGCATATAGTGTGAAAAAAAGTGCAAAAAAAAAATGTGCAAATGTGCCATTATAATACTCAGTATGAAAAAAATAAATTCTATTATTAATATTAATGTTAGTATCAATGCATAGTATTAATATATACTGGTACTAGTATTATTATTAGTTTCATTGGCATCCAATATTGTTTGAAATGAAAAGATTTTTGTTGTTTTATAAAGGCGAGAATTAAAGAACGCACAGTGCGGACCTTCGCCAAATTGGAGCAGTTCCCTTTCGACGTACGTGACCACGGTGAAGAAGGACACGACGATTATTGGCAAGCTGATCGACATCATGAGACCCGCGGTAGTGAAACTCATTACCGACACCACCACCGTAAGGATTCTTAAATCCCTCGCAGCTTCCAATTACACGGTTTCCTTTCTTTCGTTCTACCCGATAAAATCAAGCTGAATAAACGCGAATAATACTTCAGTTGAAACGATGGCTGCAGGCAGTCGCTTTAACCAGCGAATCGCCTCCGATCGAACTAACGAACGCGACTCGCAACACTGAAACCATCGACTGCTGGGCTTACGAGCTGTTCTTTCATCTCAAGTACCTTCAAGTGAATCGCGCACGACGGACCACCGACAAAGTA